CCCCCCCCTCTTCCCCTCCCTCTCTCCATCTAATCAGCAGCGGAAAGCGGCATGAATCAGTAAGCATCGCGAAGATCACGCCATCGACGATGACGTCAACCTACGCTCTGATTCGACGGGCAGCGATAAATTGGGGTGCAGAGCACACGGAGAACCCACGAACGATGATGGCGTCACCTGGACGACCATGGATGATTCCAGCAGCATGATAGCAATTGAAGATGACGCCAACATGGGCTATGGCTGGATCGTCTGTTGAGACACTTGGTTCCTCATGCATCACTCTGTTCTCTCCCTCTCTCTCTCCTGCTCCGCCATGACATGCAATCAGGAGATCGCATAATTTTGGAACCCCCTGCGCGTCACATATGTGACGAACTACTTCCCGAACCCGTGCTATCTTTCGTACCCTTTCTTTTGCTTGTATCATACCAACCCCATAAAAACCCCGTTTCGTTTTCTTGATTTCGGGTGCCGCATTTTTGGAAGCTTTTGCGATTCCCGGTTTTGCTTTTTTTTTGCACTTCGGAAAATACATAGGAGTTTAAGTGCGCCTTAGTGAGCGCACAGGGAATCGGGCCTGGCAGTTGGGAACTCCGGATAGGCGGAACTTCGACGTGTCCTTTTTGTGTGTGAATGTTCTCGGTCACGTTGGGGAAAACTCTCGGAATTTTGTGGAGATACGAATAGGCGTAGGACCTTCTTTTCTCGCATCACTCTTTCGCACACGGATATGGTGATTTCAATTTTGAATTGGTAGGCAAGATGTAACTGTTTTGGTGCCTTTTTCTCCTTTTTGTTGATGGCGCCGCGCATGCAAAAGTTTTCTCCTCTCTGTCCCCCACATCGCGCCCTCCCACGCTCCCTTCCCCTTCTCCCTCCTCTTTCTCTCTCCTTGTAACTGTTTTTTCTCTCTCTCTCTCCCGCTTTGCTTTTGGCGTGCCCCTTTTCCCCTTTCTTGATCATCTGAATCTTGGACCCGTCTTGCGCTACTTCTCGTGCCTTTTCTCTTCTCACCCTCTGAGTCCAGCACACGACGCCCGGTCGATCCTCCGATAACTCCCGCTCACCAATCAGGTACGTGGATCAATAGGATCTTCCTATTGCGCGACGAATCTGATTGGTTGAACCTTGAGTTTCGAAGGATCAACATGGCTTCCACGGAGCGCTCTTCTCAAAGTCTTCTCCTCCTGCTTCTTTCCCTACACTTTGACTTTCCCCCTGCCTTCTCTCTCCCTCGCCCCCCTTATCACCACTATAAATTTCGCAAACGCGCCCGCAAATCTCTCTTACGTTCTCGACTCCTGAGCCAGCTTTCGGGAAAGCAGTGGCTAGGCAGAGTGCTTGATGCGAGTCGGAAAGTTCTGTCGGGCTGTCGATAGACTGGCCGGTTGCGCGCTTGATCGCCACGACGGACTATGGGGTCTGGGCGAACCGCGTCGAGTCTACGTTAGTGGGGTGACGATCGCAGTGGTGGGAGTTAGCACGCGGCGGCCGGGATCGTCGGTGCGGGTATGAGGATCGATGATTGGAGTTGAGTGAGTGATTGGCCTGGGGCCATATTGGAATTCACGGTGAATGCGCCTTTGTTGTTGCGGATATTTATCTCTGGCGTGAGTGTACGGCGGCAACGCCGAACTTCCTCTTCTCAGCTTTCATCCTCTTCCATCTCGACACTCCTCCCTCGTTTCTCTCTCTCTCTCTCTCTCTCTCTCTCTCTCTCTCTCTCTCTCTCTCTCTCTCTCTCTCTTCTATCTTTGAATGATGTCGTGTCCCGATCTCTTTCTCTCTCTCTATTGGGAATGAGTCTGCATGTTATTCCTGTGTGAAAGAACTTATTCCGGAACTCTTCAATTAGTTTCCTAGGTAGTCCCCCTATGCAAGAGCCCCGTCTTCGTGTCTTGTGAACGGTGGATACGTGTGTATTATTCAGCGATCCATCTTTTATCTCTGTGCATACCTCATTTTCGCACCTTCCACAGTGAATGTATGTATGGAGGTACGCGTCTTTTTGCGTTGATTAGACGATTGTTGTTGGGATTTTGTCCGAGAATGCRAGAGTGTTTAGATTTGTAGTTCCGAATGCACTGCGCATGCCATCTGCCTTATGCTGCACGACATCTGCAACCGATCTACAGGGCAGCCTCGAGAAACAAGGCGCCTCGGATCAACGACGCATTGGCTCACTAAACCCGAGCCGCGGGCCGGTCCGTTAGTTGCATGCGAAATCAAGTGGATGAGTGCTTTGTCTCTCCTGTAGAAAAGGATTGATTGGGGGTTGCGCGAGTGTTTTCATTTCTTGATGACGTCTCAAGGTTTTTGCAATTGATTGATATGTGGACTGACAAGTGCCCTCCGATCGGACGTCAGCCTCCCGTACCTCCCGTATCAACACGACCTTTCCCTTACAACGAGGAAAGGACACGTGTATGCGAGTGGGACGTACATGAAGCTGTCGCACAGATCGGCGGGCGATACTACTTCCCTCCGGCAAACCGTTGTTCAGGGTTCGTAGAGGTTGGGTTTGTTATTATCGACACGCACTTCCCACCCTACTTAATATTGCTCCCCTTTAACGAGCTGATCGTCATTCCGTGGACTCGATCGCTATGAAGTAAAGGGCTTCCACTACGGAATACGGAGTGAGGACGAGCGTAAGGAAAGAGCCATGCGAATGCGACCCTCCACATCAGACTCAGAACTGACTAGCGAGCGACGACGGGATTTGATACGAAAACGAGACACGCGAAGCGTGCCGAGGCCCTTCCGCTCTAAACGACGAGCCGTAGCACGGTGGGAAGCTCGACAATACTTTTTGGATTGAATTTGGATTTTCTCTTTTTGCGCCGTGCCCGCGCGCGCATTCTGCGACGCGCGAAAGCAACCGACTTACTTCATCGGACCAACACGGGGGATTTCAGTTCCGTCTGTGTCACACTCAATTTCCAAAAATCCTTGGCACACCCCATCTTGCTGTTTTTCAGGGCCTCTTTCCGCACATCTAGCACTCTGAACGAAAGACAGCACAGGGCGTGAGGTTGCGCGTCACAACCTTAAACCCTAAACCCTAAACCCCAAACCTAAACCCTAAACCCTAAACCCTAAACCATCATCAATGAACTGACCGGCCCCAGGCAACAAGGGCAAAGGCCTTTAGACATGATCAATGAGCTGACCGGCCCCAGGCATTCAGAACGATCTTATTCTTTTCATCTGAAGGTATCTGTGTTAGAACTTGAGTTTGTATTTCAACAGTTCAGGGGTGTACCAACTGAGGTGGATTCCAACTTGAGTCTATATTTGAACAGTTCAGAGGTGTACCAACTGAGCCCTTTAGTTACACCCCCTTTTTTCCCCTTCCTCCACCACACAATTCATATTCCCAAATGTGAAAGTTCGAGGTCGGGGACCTCACAATTCCACCCGGAGTTATCCCGGCAGCATCAGCCGGTTTAGCTTATACAACTTCATCAGAACCATAATGCCTTAAGGGCAACCAATCACCGTTCCCCCACTTGTGCTAACCGTTTTCTCAGAGTAAGAAGAAAAAAGGAAAAAAATAAAAAAAAGTCGTTTTGTCCTGCTTTCCATTTCACGGTGATCCCGCCCCTCACCACTGACGACATGCACAAAAGACAAAAATCATGGTGGCACTACTACCAGCACAACGTTACACCCACGATATGAGGTCCTGCCAGCGAAGACTATTGGAGAAAGCTGTGACGCCCAACCTCACACCCAACGCGACTTCCTGATCAGAGTGGGATGTGGGCCTGGAAGTGCGAAAAGGGGTGTGCCAAGGATTTTTGGAAAAGTGGGGGTGGAGTCCCAGGTCAGAACTGAGATCTCTTGTGGCAAAGTTTCAGGGGCATAGATGCAATGAAGCTAAGGGGGCGAGTTACTTCCGGTCTGTTGGCATTCGATGTCGTGCAGCATAAGGCAGATGGCATGCGCGGTGCATTCAAGGCCGTCCGATTCATCTGTTTTGGGGGCGGCGGTTCGGGGAGAGGCCCGCCCGGGTTAGTTGTGTTCCCGATGAGTCGGACCTTTGGGTGCAGACACGTGGCGTCTGTTGCCATGCGTTTGGGTTAGGCCTCCTAGTTTCAGGGGCTCGTCGGTTGCTGCGTCGTCGACAATTTCCGCAAGGCGTGCGGGGCTGGTACGGGGCGATGGAATTCCACGGAAACACCGTGAGTTGGTGATACGGGAGGAGGAGACGGAAGGGAGGAAAATTGGTAGAAATAACGACGAAGCTAGGGGATATGAAGTATTGCGTGTTGTCCGAAGTGGGAAAGTCGGGGTACCTCGGATCAATGGTTGTGGCACAGAGAAACTCCCTGGGGCACAATCGATTCTCGGTTAGGCAGGGGA